CCAAAGAACTGTTACAGAGCCGTCAGTATATATTAACATTACAAATGGCAAAACCATTGAAAGCTTAGCCTTTTCAGATTGGCTAGAAACTGTGATCCTACATTTTGAATCGTCTTTCTTAACAATCAGTGGTACAGGTTTCAGTAATGAGAGTCAGGAGGGTCTTCATTGGTCCAACAAATTTCTATTCATTAAATGCTAATAGAAAAAGATTAGAGTGTAAAGTCTTTTGTGTTGTGTTTGATCAGCTTTATGTGAAAGTTTCCCTAAAAGATATTTTCCAAGATTATCTTAGCTATTGTCTTTATACCCCAGGGCCCAGTTGATGTGTCCTTGTGAGTCCTTGTGAGCCCAGCTCCAACTGGGTCATATTCTCTATGCTCAAGGAGAGGGAATAAATGATTCTAATATTAATTTTTTAAATCAAGGGCTAGAGCCATGGAGACATTTTTTTCTTAGCCTCAAGATGGCCCCTCACCCATCACATTTCCTGAAGTTCTTTCTTTTCCTCCTCAGAACCTCCTAGAAGAGAAATAGCCAGAGGCTGGCCAAAACCAACTAAAACTGGTCCTGCCCCCTATCTTGGCACTCCAGATAATCTTTAGCTCATTAACTGCCTCATGCATGGTAGCTATGAGTCAGAATCGACTCTACGGCAAAGGATTTTTTTTTTTTAGATGGAGAGCTAACATGCTAATGAACAAAAATGGCTAACTTTCTCCTGCACAGGAAATGGAACCTGGGCCTTAGAAAATGCTTCTCATTCTAAAATGCTCTGCTCCTGCCCACGTGCCATTTTGTATTCTGAAACTGATCCTGTCTGTATAAATCAGCCTCAACAAGCTGCCTGCAAGGCAGTCTTGGATGGCACGAAGTCCTGACTGTCTCCTTGCTTGGCCAGCTAATAAAGTTGCCTTTTGTTCTCCCCAACTCGGTCTCTGTCTTTTTGGCCCTGATGGAATTATGCTGAGCAGAACCTGAAGTTTCCGGCAACAACCTCGCTCTGCCTGTCTCACATTTCCATCTTTCTCTGTTCTAATTTTTCTCTGCTTGCTCTCTTTCTGGGTTTGACAAGGGACCACAGAATACTATTTTGTGTGTGTGTTTGGGGGGCTATGCTGAGCTTTTGGAGCCAGCTTAATGACTGGACATTCCGGAGATGTAAAACATAAGACATAAAAACAATCCCCCCTTCCTTATTCTTTTAAAGATCTGAACTGTGATTTTGAAATCTTCTTGTTGGACCAGTTCCTTGAAATTCTTCTGGCATTGGGAAAGTACCAAAAGAATGATCACTTTCATGCAGTCATACTCACCACCTTGGTGGAATCCTGTTGACTAAATCAGACCATTCCACCAGGCAACTTTATATCAGGCCCTCTGCCATAATTATCTCTGCCCCACTCCTGCTGTTTAATGAACGAATGAACACTTTCTAACTTGACCACCCAAGATGATCTAAGTATTATCTAAACACCCTGAGCCAAATAAAACCTAGTTGGGGTTGAGGTGGTGGAGGAACTACAGAAACATGAAACTAATCTCATTTCACATCAGCTCTTCCTTACCTCCACTTCCTTTTCCAAATTCATACACATTAGCAAGTAACGTGGATTTTACTAAAGATTTCTTGGACACTACATTGCAAAGATTGTGAGGATAACATAGGACCAGGCAGTGTTTTGTTCTGTTGTACAAAGGGTCACTGTGAGTCAGAACCTGTTAGACAGCACCTAACAACAACATTGCAAAACAATTTTAAATTCTTAAAAGAATTTTGTTCTTCCCATCAAATTTCCTCTCTTCCTCCCCGTTCTTTCTTTCTCTCCCCAGAGCTTCAAAACTACCAGCTATTTTAAGCCCAAGTTTTTAGCAAAATAAAAGTCTGGCCATTAGTGGAAGAGGCTGCATAGGCCTGGCTCACTATTGTTTACTCCCCCGTTGCTAACTGCCACATGGTCTCTACAAAAAGGTTTAAGATTAACTGATGTTCTTCCCTGGAGGGTAGAAAACAAGTGATAATGATCTAAGAATGAAAAACCAAACAAAGCATCCATCTTGTGACAAGAGTAAGCAGGATGTCGCCAGATAATCCCCAAAGATGTCGCCAGATAACCTCTAAGAATACCATTGGAAGGTTAACTCATCTACGACATCACCACCTCAAAGAAAGACTACCATAAAAGATCCATAACCCTGTCCCTATAAAAGACTCCAGCAGATCTCCAGTTGGGGAGACGGGTTTTTTGGAAGAATCTATTCCCTTCTGTCTCCTATATATTGATATGTAATAAATATCTTGCTGCTCACCTCACCCCTGTCTCAGAATTTGCTATTGTGGCAGGTGGCTCCAATCTGCCTTTTTGCAGTAATAGCAGCTGACTCCACCCCCTTTAGAAAGCAATTCAGAGGTCATCTTCACCATGTTCCTTGGGGGAGTGGGGAGTCTCAACCCTGCCCTGAGTGAACAAGAGCTAACATTTCTTGATGCTTTCCTTATGCCAGATGTTGCTCTAATCCTTCTGCACATCTTACCTTATTTCATCCTAAAAACAAATCTAAGAGGTACATATTTTATTATCCCCGCTTTAGAGATAAGGAAACTGAGAAACAGAGAAATTAAATTCTGTAACTTGTGTAAGGCCAAATACAATTTGAAAATTAGAGGTTTTAATTCTTCCTGTTGAAAATAAGGGAAGAGGCTCCCCTCCCCTGTTCTTTCAGGATTCATTTGAGATAACTTTCTCCATCTCTTTGAAAAGTATGTAAATCAAGGATATTTCCTGGGGGACTTGGGAATCATCTCTTTTGAAATGTAATCATCAAGGTACTCCTACCTCCCAGTTTCCTGGAAGGAGATTAGCATAACTTCAGGTATCCTGCCATAAAGATACTAGAAAATTAGCAATTTTATCTTGCAAACATGAATGTAATAGGTTATATCCCCTTAGCTATATAAAGGGTCAGATTCCTTCCTATCTTTGGGATCTCTTTAGCTGATTGCCTGTGATGTATCACATTCTGGTTTAATGTTTATTGAATAATAAAACTTTCTTTCTCTTCTATTTTTGTGGAGAGCATTTCTGGGTTGGGAGCAGATTTTGTTTTTAGTAATTTTTCTCCAACATTTGCCCAGTTCTTCAGGTGCTGAACCAGATTTTTGACTGAGGCAGTCTGCATCCAGAGCATGGGTGAATATTTTGGTAATTCTTACTCTAAAGATATCAAAGTTATTGCCCAGCAAAAACAGGTCTCTTTCTAGGAGGGAATTCTGCTATTAAGAAACATAGTGTCTCTGCATTTTTTTTTCTCTCCAAAAGCACTCTGGGTGCTTTGGTTATCTTTCGTTCCTCTACTCAACTTTGACCTACAAGATGAGTGGTCACTGTGGGTAAGAACACACTTACCTTCAACACTCCAGGAGTGTAGTGGAGGGTGGGTGGGAAGTCACTCAAACTGGGTGAGATCACTGTAGAGACCTTCTCTTCCCATCCTAGGCCTTCTCCTTCTCATTCTCCAGATTCAGGAAGCCTGCCTGCTGGGGGCATCAGAAGCCCCCACGCACCCACCCAGGAGATGTGCAGTTGGAAGATGTGGAATTCCAGCCAGGGCATTCCAGAACTCCTGAGGAAAGAAAGGGAGAGCCCTCTCCTGTGATCTCTTTACTTGCCCTTTGTTAACCTCCAAGGGCTACTTGGTGAAAATGAGCCCTAAATGATAATAAAGGCTTTGATGTGGTTTGTGAAGTGCCAGCAGCCCTAGTGGCTTTCTTTGCTGTTCCTTGGGAATCAGTAGTCAGATGAGGCTTACATGGTAAGAAAGGCTCCTATAAGCAAGGACACTTTTTCCCCAGCAGCCCTGAGATGGTGGTGGCCTGAGTGATTCCCCACCCTTCCTCACTCAGTCTTTGCTTCTATATGGACTAAGCCCAAGATGTTCCTCCTACCCTTCGCTTCTTGGAAGCCAAGCCCTTTGTAATCTGTATAAGGTCCACACCCTGAGGACAAGTGACAGTAGAGACTCCATCTGCTCTCTCCTGGAGACCAAGGTAAGTTGCCCAAAAGATATTCTCAGAATCTGCTTCTGCTTAAGCTTTGGAGAGGAGAGAGCCAAGGTGGGTAAGGCTAACAAAGGGAAAGCATGGACCAGGTAATCATCACTCAGAGGAAGAGCTGGGGTAGGGCGTGGAAAATTTGGGAGCATTAGGGCTTCAGGAAACCTATGAACTGGAGAAGGAGGAGCCTCCAAGTTAGGGGAGGGGAGCATATCTCTTTGGAATTTAGTGGAACCCCTTTATGAGTGCCTGTATCAGGCACTGGGCTGAGGTTCCCTTGTGTTGTAGGACAACAAGGCTCCGTTGACCATGATCCTAGATGTTATGGTGGACCTCAGGGATGCAACTTGGCTCATGGTTTATTCAAAATGATTCTTCTAATAAGCCATTTGAGCACTAGGTACAGTTGTTTATTTTTCAAATATATTTTTGATCAAAGAAATTCTAGGATCCAGACAGGACTGCCAGGATTTTATGTTACTCCCTAAATTTTTGTTAGTACTGTGAAGTAGTATCAGGCTTAGGTCAGGTTAGAAGGGAAGAAGACCTTTCTCTAGCTTGTTGTTGATAGTTGCTGTTGAATCGATTACGACTCATGGCAACCCATGTGTGCAGAGTAGAGCTGATCCATAGGGTTCTCAAGGCTGTGAACTTTTGGAAGCAGATTGTTGGGGCTGTCTTCCGAAGTACCTCTGGATAAGTTTGAACCACCAACTTTTCTACTAGTAGTTGGATACTTTACCATTTGTACCACCCAGGGGCTCTTTCTCTAGCTAGTGGGAGTAAACTGCTCCTGAAGAGGGGTATATGTAAGAGTATCTTCACTTGGGAAATCTCTCAGAAGAGGGACTTCTATCCAGTTGACCTAAAAAGGAGACTGTAAGCCATGGAAGTCACAGGAGGGAGCTAGGGTTCTTTCTAAGGGGATGCTTTTCTATCTCTCTGCCTTTCTTGGCTAGGCTCCTCCAGGTAAGTGAGACAACCATGGCTCTGGAGAAGTCCTTTGTTCTGTTCCCACTGCTAGCCCTGATGCTGCTGGTGGTGGGGTGGGCCCATCCTTCCCTGGGCAAGGAGTCCCCAGCCATGAAGTTCCAGTGGCAACACATGGATTCAGACAGCTCTCCTAGCAACAACGCCAGCTACTACAACCAAATGATGAGGCACCGTAATGTGACGCAGGGTATTGCAAGCCAGTGAACACATTTGTGCACGATCACCTGGTAGATGTCCAGGCCATCTGCCTCCAGGAGAACATCACCTGCAAGAATGGGCAGCCCCACTGCCACCAGAGCAACTCAAACATACATATCACAGACTGCCGCCTGACAGGCAGCTCCAGGTACCCCAGCTGTGCATACTGGCCCAGCAACAAGATGAGACACATCATCGTGGCCTGTGAGGGGAACTCATATGTGCCTGTCCACTTTGATGCTTCAGTGGAGGTCTCCTCCTGAGGCTAGAGCAGAGATGCCCCCACCACCTCATGATTATGACATCAGGGTCACAACACACATGAGTCTGAGCCTTGCCCCTCAGTAGTTTAGGGGGTTCAGGGTGGGGATTTGGGAGTTATGTTAACCTCTTCACTGCTTCTCTTGATAAAACATAGTTGCAAGCACTTGGATTCCTGAAGCTGTCCCCATCCAGGCAGTGTTTCTGTGATTGCTTTCCTGCAAGGGGTAAGAACTGTAAAATTAACTAAATCTGGTGAGCAGTTGTGAGGTGTGGAATCACTTTGCAGAAAGCAATTTTGGTCTTTGTTTTCTGTCCTTTTGAGCCATACTAACACCTGAGGCTAATGAATAGGGGGCTGACCAGAAAAAGAGGGAGCACGTGGGGGTCTGATGCTAACTAAGGAGGCATTATATAATCTATCATGGCCATGGGGTGAGGCTGATAAGAGCCCTGAGCCCTAAGGCTCAGATGGAGCTTCCTGGTTGGTGACTATTCATGGGAGGGTGTAGTGCACCCCTCTTGGGGATATGGAAGCTTCACTCTGTGATGCTTCCCAGACCTCACCCTATATGTCTCTTTGTTTTGTATCCTTTTTGGTTGTAATAAAGTCATAGCTGTAAGTATGATATACTCTCCTTGAGGTTCTAAAAGTCGTTCTAGAGAATTAACAAACCCACAGGGGTAGTGAGAGCCAAGACGGGATGGTGTCTACCTATTTGGCAATCTGAAAGGTGTCCTTCTAACCTGTAAGCTGTGACCAAGCTCTGAGTGGCTAGGGTCCAAGAAATGTTGCATGGGCAGCTCGTCTGAAAGATGGTGTCCATTTAGCTTGTGAGTTCTGACCCAGCTCTGGGTGGCTAACATTGGAGACAGAGTGTGCTACGTGAGCGGCTGGTGATAAGGATGGAGAAGTGGAATGATGAGGATTGGATCCATTTCCAAATTTGGGGGATTGGATTCATGCTAATCCTTACCGCTCAGTTAGCAATGAAGGTGAAATTTGCCCACTGTACCCCTTGCTTAGGGCAGTAGTGAATGCAATAATTAAATGCCTACTCTTTTGACTCTTGGTTTTTAGTGACCTGAAATAATTCCTTCTCTTTTGGGTTCCTTGATTCCAAGCATAGTGTTGTTCAGTGTGGCTGTTTTAAAGGGGACCATGGCCAAGACTCTGGCACAAAGGGAAGGACAGCATGAGTTTAGGAAGACCTGCCAGTCTCAGGGTGGGGAGGTGGAGTCTATAAAATTATGATCCTAAATTTCTGTTTTCCTTGTTTTGAATAAGCTATTACCAAATCTGAAAAATGGGCTTGTTGGCTCTATTACTTGGAAAGTTGGATCCATGCATTTTAGAGCTAGAAGAAACTTCAGAGAATTGAGAGATAGCAAGTAAGCTTTAGCTTGTGTGTTGACTCTGATTAATTGGAGGGCTGCTTAGAATGTTGTAGAAAAAATTCTAAGTAGTGATGTGATTGAACAGTAGCCTCTACTGAAGGCACAAGAGGGGAAAGGGTGTGTGTGCCATATGTTTGCCATCCCTGAACCCCAGCCTTACTCAGAAAGGTTGAGAGACTTGCTTATGCCCACTGTTTGCTAATTGCACAGCTAGGACTAGAACTCACATTTCCTGAATTCCCAGTCATTGTTCTTTCTGCTACTAGCGTCTAACTCTGAAAAAAAAATGCCCCAGTCTCCCTCCATCAAGTGCTGTGGAGATGTGGCTCTCTCACTGAGCTCATTGGCACTCTCTCCCTCAGAGGTTCTCAAAATACTTGGCCTGTGGCTCAGTTTTTGGCTACCCTTCATTAAAGCCCTTTAGAGGACTAGACACAGGGCTTCAGTCATCACGTAATCATATCGTTTGACCCTCTGTTCACAGTTGCATCTGGCTCTAGACAAAGTCATAGACAGAACTAAAGAAAGGCCCTACTTCCAGCCAGTTTGACCAGCTCTGTCATTATGAGCTCTGGTGGCACAGTGGTTAAGTGCTAAGCTGCTAACTGAAAGGTCAGTGGTTCAAACTCACCAGCCGCTCTGCAGGAGAAAGACGTAACAATCTCCGTAAAGATTCAAACAAACAAACAAACGAAAAACCTCATTGCTGTCAAGTCAAATTCTGACCCACAGCAACCCTACAGGACGGAATAGAACTGCTCTGTAGGAAAGGTTTCCAAGGCTGTGAATCTTTACAAAAGCAGACTGCTGCATCTTTCTCCTGCCGTGACCGGTGGGTTTGAACTACTGACCTGCTCTGTAGGTAGGGTTTCCAAGACTGTGAATCCTTACAAAAGCAGACTGCTGCATCATTCTCCTGCAGTGACTGGTGGGTTTGAACTGCCGACCTTTCTGTTAGCAGTCAAACACATAACCACTGTGCCACTAGGGCTCCTTTTCTGTAAAAGATGACAACATTGAAAACTTTACAGGGCAGTTCTACTCTGCCCTATATGATTCCACTATGAGTTGGAATCAACTTGAGGGCAAAGGGTGATTTTCTTTTGTAAAGTGAACCCTTAGCCTGGGAGCTTCTAGCTGAGGAAGGAGGCTTGCAGATGCTAGAGGGCCTACGTATCCTTGCATTTCTGTGGTAATGGGAATCTCATTCCTTACCAAAAAGAGAGGATGAAAAAGAAAAAAAGGAAGCCTTAAGTTTTCAGATATGTCTCATTTAGTCAAATTTTTCTTATGTTCACCTCACTGTTGTCCCCAGATCCAGAGCTCCTAACTTTCCCTCCTGCTACGGCTGCTAACCAAGAGGTCAGCAGTTGGAATCCATCAGGTGCTCCTTGGAAACTCTGTGGCTGTTCCACTCTGTCCTATAGTGGCGCTATAGTTGGGATCAAACTGACGGCTATGGGTTTTGTTTTGTTTTTTGGATTTAGTGCTAAGCGAGCACTTTAGTGGAGCTTTTAAGAAAGCGCCCTTGGAGCTTTGCATCCATATATGCAGCCCTATCTGGGGAATAAAGTGAGAGATGAAGATGGATAGTCCAGGTCCAGATTGTGCACAGCCAGAGAGCCTATGGGGGTTGGGAGGAAGTGCCCTAAATAGGAGGAAACAGGGAGACAAAAGACTAAGCCTTGTGCTGGAGAGGATCAGGTACAATCAAGGAGAGACACAGTCATCTGGGGGCAAATGAGAGGTCTCTGTTCTGTGGAACAAATGTTGGAAGACTATTGCCATCCCACAAATAAAGGCTTTCTAGGAGACTAGCCTGTGCAGATTAACCTTAACCCTGAGGAGCTAAGATCATGTCTTAATTACGTAGTGCTACTATAACACAAATACCACAAGTCGATGGCTTTAAAAAACAGAAATTTATTTTCTCACAGTTCTGGAGGCTAAAAGTCTAAATCAGTGCCTCGACCAAGTCAATTCCTTCCTTGTCAGTGGCCCCAAGTATTCCTTGGATCCCTTGCCTTGTGGTGATCCTCACATGGCGTCTGTCTTCCCTTGTGTGTCTCTGTGCCCATTCTGCTCTTTTTATAACGCAGAAGTGGTTAGCTGTAAAATCCACCTTAATTCCAGCACAACTAGATGATGCCCAGCTGCCACCACCAACTGCTCTGACAGGGATCACAACAGAGGGTCCCAGACACAGCTGGAGAAAAATGTAGAACAAAATTAAAACTCACATACACACAAAAGACCAGACTTACTGGTCTGATAGACTGGAGAAACCCTGAGAGTATGGCCCCTGGACACCGTTTTAACTCAGTAGTGAAGTCACTCCTGAGGCTCACCCTTCAGTCAAAGATTAGGCAGGCCCATAAAACAATAATATACATAGCTGAACCAGGTAGATGAGACTAAATGGGCACACCAGCCCAGGGGCAAGGACGAGAAGGTAGGAGGGGACAGGAAAGCTGGACAAATGGAGTTGGGGAACCCAAGATCAAGAAGGGGAGAGTGTGGACACATCTCAGGGTTAGAAACCAATGTTACAAAACAATATATGTATTAATTGTTTAATGAGTGTCTTAGTCATCTAGTGCTGTTGTAACAGAAATACCACAAGTGGATGGCTTTAACAAACAGAAGTTTATTCTCTCACAGTCTAGTAGGATAGAAGTCAAATTCAGGGCTTCAGCTCCAGGAGAAGGCTTTCTCTGTCACCTCTGGAGGAAGGTCCTTGTCATCAGTCTTCCCATGGACTAGGAGCTTCTCTGGTAGGAACCCCGGGTCCAAAGGACACACTCTGCTCCTGGTACTTTCTTGGTGGTATGAGTTTCTGCTGTCTCTCTACTTGATTCTCCCTTTTATATCCCAAAAGAAATTGGCTCAAGACACAATCCAATCTTATAGACTGAGTCCTGTATCGTTAACATAACTGTTGCCTATCCCTCCTCATTAACATCATAGAGGCAGGATTTACAATACATAGGAAAATCACATCAAATGACAAAATGATGGACAATAACACAATACTGGGAATCAGGGCCTAGCCAAATTGACATACAGATTTCTGGGGGAAATTCAATCGATGCCATTCCACCCTTTGGCCCCCAAAATTAATGTCCTTGCCACATGTGAAACATTCACCCCATCATGTCATAGCAAAAACCTTAACTCCAAGTCCAAAATCCAAAAATTCCTCTTCGTTTGTGAAATCTAGAATACAAGTTATCTGCTTCCAAAGGTACAATGGCAGAACAGGCAGAAGCTAGACATTACCATTACAAATGGTAACCATTTGTAATTTGTAATTACCATTACAAAGGGATAACAGGCACCAAGCAAATCAGCAGAACACATTACATTAGCCCTCAAGGTTTTGAAAATAATCCTCTGTTCTGTGAGACGATTTACACAGTGGCCCTGCCCTTCAGACTCTGGATATTGTTCACACTCTCCAGACTCTGAGTGGAGGCCCCATGGCTCTGGGCTTCAGCTCCGCCTTCCAGGCCTAATGGGATGGCAACTCTGCTCCCTCAGCTTTAGGTGCACCATATTCCTAGTCCATCTGAGTGGAGACTCCACCCTTAGAAACACCAGAGGC